TTGCTGGGCCATTTTGAAGTACTTCTTACATGAATGGATTAAAATGCACCATCTCAGTGGGAACCGCGATTCCCGTTGAAGTGAACCTTGGCGAATTCGAGCACCGGGACCGTGGCTGATGAAGCAGATAAATGTTGGATATAGCTTTCCAAACAGCACTGCACTCCAGGACCGGCTGGCTAGCCGAACAACCTCCTCTTGGTGCCAGCTGGGTGGTTCGGGATTTTCCCGTTCCCAGCAAATCGTTCGGCGGCAGTGTTCCAGGATGTGGTGGGATTTCGCCTGGCAAGCTTTCTCCCTATAAAAAACCACAGATATCCGTTTAACAACACTGTGACGTGGCGGATGTGACTCGCCACTAAATAAAGTCACTGCCTCTTCCCTTTTCCGGAGGATCATTCACATATCACGAACGACATCTGCTTCAAAGCGTTCCATTGACTCCCCCTTTGATGGAGAACACAACGAACAAAAACACACAGAGACACATGTACCTACTCACACTACATGGCCCCCTCCAAATACACAGTTAAACATACTTTTACATGTCAACACACACATAAATTCCTATGCCATTTGTCAAAATGCACTAATTTGTGCAATTGCCGATCATACATGTCTGTATTACCATGATCATGCCCTTGATGGTGTGCCTCGCAATGACGAGAACAAACTATTTATTTATTTATTTATTATTAAGTTATTCGATTTCATCAGGTGGAGGTGCCACCCATGGAAGAGAGAACCAGTGGAATACAGGCCGAAATCTCTGCGCCCTTGGCTATCGGGTCAACCAACGCCCAATAATAAGTTCGAAACCGGTCATGCACTGCGGTGTTTTAGGCCGAACAACCTCCAATATCTGTCTGCTTCATCACCCATGGTCCGGGTGATCGAATTTGCCAAGGTTCACTTCAGTGAGATTCACGGTTACCACTGAGATGGCGCGTCGTAATCTAATCACACAACGAGTACTCAAAATGACTAACCTAATGGACGTCTTACCAGAGTGGCCGGACCATATATTTGTCGTTTTCATCAACTTCCTACCACCACAGCAGACAATATTATAATTTTCGTGTTTATCACGAACGCAGCCAGTGCGTAATCTCCATATGGTCAACGCTTCCCATTGAAGTGCACCTCGTCCAATTCGATCACCGGTACCGTAGCTGATGTAACAGATAAATATTGGATTTTGCCCGTCCGAGAACACTGCATTCCACTACAGGTTTTCAGCTTGTTTAAACACATTGGTAAGATAACAGTGCCTTTGAGGTTTTAGCCGATGCCTCTACCTCTAGGATATGGAGTCACGGCGGGTAACGCTTAGTACAACGGTTACTAACCGATTGGAGGGTCATCTTAAAGCACTCATTGTGTGAATGCACTGTGACGAGCAATCTCAGTGTGGACCGCGATTTCCATTGAAGTGCATCTTGGCCAGCTAGATCACTTAAACGGTAACTAATAAAGCGGGTGGCTTAGAGATGGGGGTTTCGGCTAACTTCCTAATGGTCCCTGGTTAGAATACCTGCTATCTCTACCTGATGAGATGAAATAGGTTCCCGATAGGTCGCAGATTGCAGTGTTTTCGTGTGGGTAACACCCAATTCCCATCTGATTAGACTTATTCTTTCTCATCTACCAGTTTAGAATATACTCCATTGTAACACAAAGTCCAAGTCAGTTGTTCTTCTTACGAGTTGAGATCAGTTTGGTTTGGAGCCTAGTTCAATAGCTATCGTGAAACTACTACAGATTGTCGCAAAGTAGTTTCTATCCGCAAATCCAAGCGCTCAATGCACCATGTAGCAAAACTCATCATTTTCACAGGCAAATTTCAGAACCGCTGTTGGAGGATGATGTGGATGATCAGAACAAAGGACCGCAACTGCATAAATTAACTGATACAGTATGTTGACACTTTTATGTTTGAAGTACGTTGTGCCAGGCAGAACAAATACACTACTTGTACTCACTGCCTGAATCTACCGCTATGGTGTCAACTCCGATACTGGATTTCATGGAACATTGTTTAAAATTAAAACCGAATGATCAGAGCATATTAGACATAATTGTAAGATAATAGAACAAATTGTAAGGCACCGAATCTGTTCAGCCTTATAAAATGGCAGTCTCACGTGGGTTGTTCCAAATGCATTGTGATTGAAAATAATCGCCTACCTCCCACAGGGATTATTGGAGGTGCGAGTTCGGTAGTTATTATGCACATAAATATAAGCTGTATCAAAACCATTTCATTGGGACTCTGGGGAGAAGAAAGACATATTTCATGCTGGTATTGTGGGGGTTATATTCGGATCCATTGGACGTAAATATATACTACCCGGATAAACAAAGGCTGCTGTAGTTAAAGTTTGCAGAGTTGATTCAAATGATAAAGATTGCGTTCCGTGTACCTCAACTACTGTGAGTGAGTCCGCTGCCAGAGATCACCTGGTGTGTGGATGAAACAGGTAACTGCATACTTACGAAATGTTGCTGCGTTAGGAGTGGTTAACCTTTGACTCTGTGATCATTGCGTATGCGCACTTTCAGTCGAAGCCAATGAAGATACTTGGAATTAGTCTAGCGGTGAATGCCCAGCAACCTACCAATTTTCCGCACCCTCAGCCTTAGTGTACAACACCCTGGAGAGTATCACATTTTGACATTCATTTTGCTAACAATATAGAATTAGGAAATGACTGCTATCGCTGGATTTTGCTCCTCGTTATCCATCTTCTCAATGCTAAGAATGTAACTTACAAAAAGTTTTAGATTTCCGGGATGCAGTGTACAAATATTAAACGGCAAATTCGACCGACTAACATTTCCCCCGCCCACAATCACTGCCACTCGTGTTGTCCACTTCCCCCTTTCTTTTGACCTCAAACACCATTGAGAGCATCATGATTTCAACCACAACTCACCTGCTCTTAGAACAGGTCTTTAGAATGCACCTGCTAGCAAGCAAGTGGTATGCACCATCCACCATTGTGTCTCTGCATCGCTCAACGATGCTTCAAAAACATTCACCGTTACTGGCCTTCACAATGGGCAGGCTGAGTTTAATATTCATTCAGTCGTCACAACACATGCGGAAGTCAGCCTGGGACGAATGACACTCCACCTCAGCAACTTGACACATTGGAAATTTTCCACTCCTTATACGGTGGGCGAGAATAGGGGTTAGGGTGGGTGTTTTTGCCCCCAGTCTAATTCCTGTCTGTAATCATGTCGACAGCTCCTTTGGCGCGTTACGGGAAGTGGGTTTCCTATCAAGAGGTCGTAGGCAATTCACCGAGTCACTTTTTGTTCCCATCGAATCTATCCGCCAGCTTGCTTTCAACCGCTTCGTTGGATAGACAGCGTACTCGCCTGGTGCTGTAGCCTGAGTACGCGAAGTCTTTCTGTGTTCTAAACCTGGAACGATAGTAAGAAGCAGAGTTGGCTCTCAGTTCGCTTCACAATACTGGCTTGTGAAGAAGCATTTCAAGCGTCAACTCAGACCTGTATGTCACACTTGATGGAGTACTCAAGCTGCACACCTAGTGATGTAAATTGAAAGCCCAATCGGAATAGCATACAAACCAGTATGGAAAAGTTAGCGACTGTCCGATTGCACTGGTAAGCTCTGTTTGAAATAACCCCAGTTATTTCTACAATGCTTTGCAACCTAGTATTCATATTTCGGTCTTGTTGTGTCTATTGAGCGGACACCTGTCGTCACAGAATATACTCAACACTACACGAAACCTCGAGTCACCACGACGCATGCTGCTATCTGTCTTAGCTCCTCTCGGTTGCGACCGCCAGTACACACAGGTATACCATTTTGGAAAATACGTTTCCCGGGACGAAATGTGTGGTCGGTGTGCCAACTCAAACCGCTGACTTAGCTTTTGCTCCTAGGGTGTGCCAGTAAACCTGTGATCACACACTGTGCTCTCTAATCATACATCCCGCTGCATCTGCTGGTAAATATTCCTGCCAGAGTAAACGATCGCAAACTTTGGATTCAGCTTACCCGGGACTGCATGTTTGGTCTTCCGTCATCATGTTGTGATCTAGTGTGTCGGCCTATTTACCACCTAAGCAAGTCGTGAACGATTGTCAACGCTAAATTACCATTTCAAATGTGATATTTACGCTGACCTGCTCTAAAAGTCATAGCGATGCATTACGGAACATATAATTCTGAAACAACATCACATATCTTAAGCATACCTCGAACTTCAACCTTATCGTGAATACTGGTTTGCATGGCGTGTATCTCCAACATTAGTAGTTTCCAACATTGCTGAAGCACATTTCGATGGAAACGAAATGAAACGAAAGCTCATCATAGCTCATCAAAGATGAGTGAGGTATGATAGATCGCTGGAGAGAAAACGCTCTAAGTTGTCCTGTGGATTTATGTGAGTTTTCCCCCCTTAACACAAGTAACCATCCGAAAAGACTGGGCAGACACACAGAACAACATTTATTTCAACACCGGTTCTCAGTCCTAGCTTCATTCTTCATTATTTCATGAAAATTTGCGTACGCTGTAATCGGATTAAAAGTGGTGGGCCTGCGATTTTGCTGCTGAAGCAGACATAAGTTGTTTCACCATTCAAATGGGATGGGGATTGAAGTAAATTTGATCAACGTAAGCAGCGTATAAGCAGCTCCCAGTTGGCGTTTATACTGAACATAACTTGGACCAACTCTGCTAACCATATGCGAATTTCATACGCGCGTTCGCTGTGTCTGTCGTATGCAACTGCTGGTTGGCACATTCTGCCGTCCACATAACTGCTCTAGTTCTGGCTTTAAAACCGTTTTTGGGCTGTCCGTTACCTATCTAAGGACCACAAAACAATTTAGCGCTTCTATCGTAGTGGGTTACTAGTTTCGATGGTGTCGTGAAATCAAGTGGGATCCCGCTGTCCTCAGTAAGTTGCTACAAGGGGAAGATCTCAGTTAATTAAATGAAATAAGAACGGTGAATAGGTCAGGTATCTGCAGTCTATTTGTGTATTATTAAACTCAAACTCCATTGTACACTTCACTCAGCTCGACTGTGCCTCTGGTCAAGTTCGTCATTTGATAGGGTAACAGTTGGTTAGAGAACCTTGAGGATGTTGAGTTTGTGTATAGGCTAGAGCACATAGAAAGACTATCGGAGAGCGCAGTGCATGAACGATCCAGTTTGGTAGGGAGCTTACTGTCAGAACCGTAGGCTAGATTTTTAGACAAGTTTGATGCATTGCACTGTATGGAACGGCTGCTACAGTCGAGATTACCGCACGCACTTGTGCTGCGCCTATCCACTGGTTGGATGAAACCATTCGATGGTCTCATGGAGAGTAAATTGTCAGGCGGCGTTTCCCTGGTTAACAAATTGGGTCTTGGGCTTTGTCCCTGTGAGTCACCACTGGACCTGTTCCCGTTGCGGACAGCGTTTGGTTCATTTCTTTCTAACTGGGATCGTCCCTCTTCGAAAGAACTCTGGTCCGATGGAGTCAAGTCGAAACGGCGATCAGGAGGGACTTTGGAAGCATATTTTTCCATCCTGCTTTGCAGGGTTCGCACGGATGAGCCGCGCCTCAACGGCGAGCAAGGGAGTCCAGTCTCAGGTAAAAAGTAATGCGATGGCGCATTAGCACAATTGCCCGTGGGCGTGATGAGACAAGCTGCGGCTGCGGCCGCAGCCATTCGGGCCGACTGAAGTAGATGTGACGAGTTAGATCTACCGTTCACTGTGGGATAGACTGGTACGGGTGAATTAGGTAGTTCACACCTTGTGTTTGTTGGTAAACCTGTGTCGGATTCGCTTCCTGGAGGATGCGTCCCGTAAGACTCAGATTGCGGATACCAGTTGGGGTAGTTTCCCACTGGTGATTGGAGCCAAGGGACAGGGGAAGTCATATGTGATGGTGGTGGTGTTGAGCGGCAACTTCTGCCACCAGCTGTGGCTTCAGCAACAGGGGCCGCGATCGGGACGATGGTGGACGACTGCCCAGTCGGATTAGATGTTTGTCCGTTGGTCGAAATATCTGTAACCCCAAGAGTGGTACGGCAAGGGGCAGATAGCTGAGTTGCTGCAAAAAGATTAGGGTACGCACTGGTTAGTCCGGGATGTGTTGGTGGTGCAGGTGGACCAAAACCGTGCCCAACAGGTAACAAAAGAGTGGAGAGGGCTTGGGAACCGGAATAACCGAGAGAATCGGACCCCGGTGGGCTTCCACATGTAGGTGACTGCATCGCCTGTGCAAGTCCGGTGAAATCAAATTTGTATGCGTAACGCTTTCCATTGATCTAAATAAAATATATGGGAGACAATGAATGAAATAAAGTTAGTTTTATTTGATATAGCTAGCCTTTCTTTCAGGTCGACTAACATGCACTATTTCAAGGTATCGAACTTGATCTTACATGTTACCAGCAATGAGGAATGACGGTGCTTATGAAGTTGTGGGCTAATGTGTAGTTTAAAAAGTCACTGACCTCACCTGCAATGATAACCTGGAACTCTCGGATTGAAAAGCAACACGCAGACGAGAAGTGATCCTCACCAGAGTAACATACGACTGCTGAATACACTTTACTCTAGGAAAGCGTTTCATCCTATATCAATTTCTCTACTCTCAGTAGGTTTGCGCCCCATTAGCAAGGTTCTGAGAATGCGGTGACGCGTCCGTTTGGAGGACACCACCGAAGTTTCGGAACTCGTCGCCTCAGTGGCGCACTCGTATGGCGCTTTATTGGTCACTGCGGTGTTATAAACGCGTGAACCGCACACCTCTCTGAGTTGTCCTATTCAGCTCACACTTTCAGTTGAGTGCGATCCCTGATCCATGTATCAGTGACAGCCATCAGAATGCACGGTTGATATTATCAATATTAATATAAAAAAACGCGCAATCTACTTGACAATGGAACAGTACTGCACAAAAGGTGGACAAGCAAGTCCCGTCTATGAAACGACTAATGCCAAAACCAATTGTATAAAAACATAACACATGTCGGCGTTTGCTTGTGCAAACGATTTGTTTACCTTGTGCCAAATCATGTTATCCAGGTGGAACCGTGTATCATGAAGTCACTGGCTAAAGTAGGATGATATAAGAGCGGAAATAACAAAAATCGGAAGAACGTTCCCGTTTGAAACGTTCAAAGAAAGAAATGGTTCCGGCAGCACACCGACAGGCCATACAGTGTGATCAACTTCAACTGGTGTCCTCTGACTGGAGCGTTGTGGTTGGGTTCTAGTATGGGGCAGCGTGTTTGATTGAAACACTTGTAAAACTGATACACCATTGCACGATGATGCCGTAGGCACCGATACTGCGCGAGGAAAAACCTATGGTTCTCATTCTAATTTTGCAGGAGGTGATGGGGCAAAAAACTAAGTTGTTTGGTCGATTTTTGCTTGTGGTAGCTCAAGAACACTACGATTATGCCTTGGGCTACCAGACCTGGGTGGTGTGTTCCGCATGGGGTCTCCTGTCCATGCTGAGCATGCATTCATTGGAAGATCGCACTGTTGAACAATACAAACGCATTGTATGAGCGGGCATAGGCATTGACTAACTTTCATAGCTGTCCGTCCGTCATGCCTTAATCAATCAAGATAATTACGTACGATCACTCCAAGATCACTATCATGGAAGGCGCACGGCAATAATCGTAGATGTTCTGACGACATATCCTCAGTAGTTTATCTTGGACTGCGTTAAACAACAGCTATGGAAGAGCATGGAATCCAATGCGATCAGTACGTGCAGCCATTAGGTTGCAATCTACGTACGCTTATTTAATTTCAAGGCCAATAGAACCCTTTGGTACAACTTGACACTCACTTTGCTCATAATATTCTTGTCATAGTAATACCGTAGGGCACGACTAAGTTTGTCGTAGTTCATGTTTGGTTTCGACTTCCGTTCTCCCCACCTCCTTGCCACTTCGTCCGGATCGACCAGCTTGAATTCACCATTTGTACCCTCCCAGGTGATGCAGGCGATGTTCCGCGAATCGGATAGCAGCTCCAGTAGGAACTGCCACAACTGAATTTGTCCGGAACCTATATAAAGAGGGGTGGAAAACATCACTGGGAATCCATATGGTAGAGATTTGTGTGTACTCGAAATGATTTTTTCAATGGCATTAGCCATAGGTTGCGCAAATGTTACAATCGCTAACCTTTAACCTAAGGTTTCTTTGACTCCCAACTTTTTCAACGCGCCAACCTACCACGGTAATACAACAAATCGTACAAGTGTCTGTTTTGGCCTATGCATTCTCCCTCCATCTCAGAAACTGACAGACACCCGCATCTACCACATGAGGCAGCTTGCACCGCTGTTTTCACGACGCTATATGACTACACCCCACGTGAGAAACAGACCAATTCATCCGTGTATGCGGGTCTACGGATGACCTAGGCATACAAATCAATCCCAGTTGGCTCTGCATGCCCAACCCCCACCAGACCTAGTTGTAAAACAATAGAATTGCTTTGCTCTACTCAACCTAGTGCTGCTAGATCGGCCCAAGTACAGATGGAACAGGATGACTATGAAACACTACCGACCGGGTGGAATATGTAAATTCTTCTAGCCGACCAGGCTCTGAACAGTTCAGTAGCCTCAGACCATACGGGTACCCATTCCACTCTTGCTAGTGACGCTGTAAAGCTTTTTTTAATTTTTGTGCAGAGGCAGCACGCTCCATCAGAATGCGAGCTGCTGGAGAGAATAGCTCTTAGCATTTAAGCTTACCCACTCTCATTATAACAAATTCAGCGCGAAAACTTAGCAAACTCACCCAACTGGTGCAAATAATTTATCCGGCGTGATGTCTGAATGTGCGTTGGCATATTGCGGTTTGTCAAACTGGAAAACGCTACGAAAGGGTTTCAAAAATGCCTCCGCAAACAGTAACAAACAACACTGTAAAACACTCCTAGTTGGTGCCACATGGCAAATGGTGATTACTTGATGGTTTCTTAGGCATCTAAAATGCACGTTCACGATTCTTTTTACGTCTAGCGGTTATTACTGGTTTAATTGTGGATCCCGAGTACAGCATACCATATTGACCTTCCACCAACAGGATTGATCTTCTAAGACTTGTCGCTGCTCAGCCCAAACCTCGAGAACTCCAACGAACTGGTGTATTATTTTCAGTCCTAGCTGGCTGTAACAGCTTGTTCCCAGCCGGGCTACCCCGTGAAACTGTGATTCTCGGCTACGAGCTCGTCTGAGTAGAAAATTGAGGCTCCTAATCTACCAAAACGCTTGGCATGGCCAAAAGGTAGTCTATGAAATAAAGTTAGAAGTTGAATAAATATTTGAGTAACACCGTCGAAGCTGGTTTAGCTAGGTCCTTTGTCTGTTCTTACAAAATTAAACAGAATCCTAAACAGTGAATGAATCGATTAGTGATATTTGGTTCATCCACCCTTTAACACGAGCCGGGTACTGGACAGAGTCCGTGGTACCTGTTTTATATCCCGGCCTTCCAGTTTTAAATAAATAACCCCAGAAATTTTATAATGCTCGACAGTAAAAGAGACCGATTTCGCGCAGAGACACATGATTAGATACCTAGCGATTGTTTCGATGTATGAGTAAATACTAGTAACTGAAGTTCTGCAGGTGTTATGACAGAATTACATCATACTAAGCGGGTCATTTAACCCATATGAGCACTCGACATGCTTAACTTCCCCCTCTTCTGTCTGTATGCGCCCAAGTCGAACGTAGTGGATTAAAACACATTGTGCAATGAATCTGTGTCAGAAATCACGATTTAGGAAAGATCAGACTCACATTGAGGTCGCCATTGTCCAGCCCCGGTTGCCAGCGACTGCTTCGTGTTTGCATGTGGAGTAGACGTGACATACTCAATTGCAGGTTGTCCTGGAACCCGCTCCATGGTGTCATCCAACCTGTGCATCTTACTGTATAGCTCATGAGAAAAACCATCTCTTAATTGTAGATAAGGTCTCATGGTTCTTGGTTCATCAGTGTTGTCGGTGTTCGAGTTGAAGGCGGAATATTTGCTCCTTTGCTCCTCGTCTGCATTGAAATCCGTATCTGTTTTCTGAATTATTCCGCCCAAACTTGCTCGTTTTCGCCTATGCTTCATTTCACTCACTTTCATATTTCTCATAGATGCATTTCTTGCCCTAAATGTGTCATTCACAACCGAATTCCCAAGCGAGGTACGATAACTTTTATAAGACAGTGTCGGACTATCTGTTGTACGCAATCCATTGCCTGGAACGGCATGCGCTCTTCCGAGGTGATCAACAGGACGGTGTCCATTGAAAGTGTGGAATCCAGTTTCCATAGAAGTAAGTAAACCGTTAACTCCTCGTAAACCAGAGTTCAGAGGGCCGGAACACGTCGCAAAACTATTCTCAAAAGGACTGATGTAATCTGAGCCAGCCTTGAGGGCTAACTCTCTTAGCGGGTACGAACTAAGGGCGGCTTTGTAAAAGCTGTCTTGGTCCCGACTAGGAGACACTAAACTGCCTGTTTGCCCAGGATAAAGCAAAGGACGAGAAACAATAAACGGATCCAGCATATTTGCAGTCTGTGACAGTGGAACGGTCAACGGCCAAGGTTCAGTCATTTGTCCGACGCTCCCAAACGGAGCTGCGCCGTGGGACTCAAATGTTGTCATTGGTGTCCGACATGTCAGCTGCTTCAGCATGGGCTGAGGAAGAGGTACTTGGGCATTAGAAGTGTTTACAAATGCATGTTCGGCGTTTGGGTGTCTTAAATGTACTGGACTTGAGGTCGGGGAATGGACCATGTGTACGTAACCCACATCCGTGGAATACGAATACAGTGCTCCAGTGGGTGGGTGTGAATCGGACGCAATCACACTGGTTGGCGGAACTGGTAACAGGCCATAGTGCATGAATTCGTGTAGTGCTCCTGGGCCAGTAGGCGGATTCGCAATGCTCAGTGGTAAGGGCTTCTGGCAGAACTCGCTGTTCGACCCAAAGGGAAACTTTATTCTAGCTACTGGCCAACTAGTGTCGGAGTCTGAGGGGATTGGTGGTGCGTTCGCAATGCTCATTTCAATGCTGAGGAAAGAAGGTAGAAAAACCACCATGAATTAACTAAACGGTTGTTTCAAAACTTGCATCACGTTTTAGTAAGCACATTTCAAATGTCATATGGAGTCACGTAAGGCAGTCTCCCTGTCTTGCTATAGCACACAAATCCTAAGAAAACAACTGCTTTGTGTAGCATAGATTGCAGCTACCCTTGGGCACGCAACCGCTAAACAATAGCCATGCAAACACTCCTCCATGTGAAGTTACATGCAGTCACTTCACGTGCAGTATGATTTCATGCTTTAAAAAGCTAGTTGGAAGCATGTGCAAGTCTGACCAGAATTCAATGGTATTCTGTCACACCTGAACGGAGAGCATATGCGGAGGCTTGAGAAACACCGTATAGCTTGTTGGTGAAGGAATAAAACCGGCAGCATTCGTTTTGCCATTTTTATCTGAAAATTGAACGTAATCACGATGGCAGTAGTAAGGTGAGATTTCTCTAGCGAGTAACAACTAACTCTCATTCAGCCCTCTTTTGCTTGAACCGCTAGTTTTGTGGAGTCGCTTCCAAACTCTGTTCCAGCTTGGGAACACTTTAACATGGTTAGGAAGATGTAACTTTTTACCACCAGCTGCAAACTCAGAAAGCTTACGGCAGCCGGTGAAACTTTTAAGCTGTTGCATTGTATTGTTATATGTATTGTATAGGTCAGTCAGTCATGCAAGTCCGCCGCCGTCAGCCGTTGCTTAGTGGCACAAGCTGCCGGCATGCATAAGTCATGGGGTCGTAATCAGGCAGGGATCCGAGAAACAAGCACAGGTCGAAACAGCTGCCTGGTGCTTTTATAAACGGGTGAGAGCCTGCCTGACTGAGAGCGGCTGCAACGATCTACGTCTAAAGGTATTGTACAGTACATCAATCCAAACTTTCAAATCGGCAACGCCATGGGCCAGTGAGTCCATTTTCGTAAGTTTACTGAGTGAGCTCTAATTCATTCGGTGCTGACACCAATAGCAGCAGTATGAAACGCATGGTGACGAGTTTTAGACCTAGTGCATTCTGTTCTCATCCCAAAGCAACAAAGGCTGGAAATGACCGGAAACTTGCATACCTTTATGGCTATACCAGCTCCCTACATCTATTTGGAACTATGTCAACTTTCTACAATGCACAAGTCGTGATGAAGTCATCATTTAAAAACTAACTCCCAATTAAGTCATCTCGTATGACCAAATGATGAACATCGCTCAGAGCGGATGGATATTGGGTTTCGCTCATTCGTAACACTGAGAATCGCGGTGCACATTGAGATTGCGCGTTGCTATCCATCCACACACATCCAGTGCCGCAAAATGAGCTTCGCGGTCAGTCATCAACCGTTATGACTAATGTTGCCTGTTGTGACCCGGTAGCCATAGGGATAGAGGTTTCGGTGGAGATTCCAGAAGCGCTAGGCTCGAGAGCAACACTGCAATTTATGCTTGGTGGCAGCAAAAATTGCGAGACCGGGCACAGAATGCAATGTTTTCGGGCGGGATAAGACTCAATGTTAATCTGCGCCAGTCACGGTCCAATGAACGTATTCACCAAGCCTCACTTTAATGCCAATCCCTGTCCGCATCGAGATGCGCATTGTAATCCATTCACACAGCGAATATGTCAAAATGACCCTTCCACTTGTTCTCATAGGTTGAGTTGATATGAGGCGCATATCAGTTGAAGGTCTAAATAAGGAATGATCTGTTTTAGGTGGCCGCGCACAATTCATCTTTCTGTCTCAGTTAACCTACGGCCTATTGCTTTTCGAAGCAAGTAGTTCGTTGTCATTTTCATATGGTCCGATGAAACGGCTTGGGGTAGTTGGGCGTGATGTTAGTATTTTGGTCTAGATGGTTCGTATGTATGCAGAAATAGCTCACCATCGCATTCTAAGTAAAGCGTAAAAATATTAATACTAGAGGTTAACTGCTGCTGAGATGTAATAAAGATACCGTTGTTATATTCCACGTTTAAAAGAATAAAGGCGACCCAAACAGACAGCGCAGCGCAGATTGCATTGAGACAACGGTGCCAATGTTCCTTCGAGCGAGTGGGCCATACAATAGACGCCTGAATCCGTTCACTTTAACCACGAAACCATGCAATCCTCCCGTGATGGACTGTGGCATCCTGAGAAGTACTCATCATTACAGTGCATACTCGTTTGGTTTGGCCAATAAAATTTAGTTGCATAACTATAACTGCACGTTAACTAGGAACCACAAAATTCCTGAGCAGTTCAGCGGTACTAAGTAAGCTCCATTTTTACAGAATTTCTATTGCATATAATCGTGGTACGACTAAAGGAACAGACAGGGCCGAAGAACTGAGCTGGATGATCGAACTAGCAAGAGGTCATACGTGTTATGGTCGCAAGAGAAACACCGCGCATTCCTAGGTTGCCGATGGTGATGGTGGTTAGTTGAGGAGGGGGTGATAAAGGATACTTCCTTGTCAAGCATACATTGTCCCCTAAGCCACTGACACGAGATCAAACTGGAAGAAACAGTCCCTTCAATTTTGGTTACCGTATCAACACTTCAAAAAGACAGAATAAAGTCGAGTCGACTCGGAAAGTGGCAACGGCACTTACTCTTCGATATATTCCCCCTCTACAGTTATCCAACTATCTTAGTATTGAACTAATGCTTGGAAGGCTGCAGAGCAGAAGAGTTTAGCAATGAGTCCAAATCAGCCTGAGACAACCTGCTTCGCTTCATCAGTACTGGGAAAATGTTCCCTTCCAAGAAATTCTTTTAGGGGCCAAAACAAGCAGAAGTCACTTTTTGCTACGCCAGTAATAGGAGCAGGATGCGAAAAGGGGATCCAGGAAGCACCGACCTTAAATAACATAACGGTCCTTTAATTCAGTACATGCTGCAACTGCTGATTTATTATGTTTCCTGTTCCCGACTAAATCTTACACACTTCTTTGCAACTCCTGGGCAATTTATGCGACTAGTGGCAATGATAACTATGTAGCGCGCTTAATGTCCCCAGGGATGGCAACTGTGAGTTGAGATTAAACTCGACCTGAATCGTCAATGACAGGTGTACGGCCACTTTTTAATTGCTTACACCACCCACCTCGTTTAATGTGACTTAGTGACTCGTCATTACATTGTGACCGAACCCCTCCTTAATTAGGAAGTTCATCGCAGCCGGTTGTTCCATGTGCCAGGTCAACTGATTATCCAGCATACGGAATAATTTTGTACAGAATACTGCACGACAGTAGTGCCATGTTGCAAAAAACAGCCACCTGTTCCCACTGGTTGCATTACTTTCACATTGTTGTTAGACTTTGAAGCTGAGAAAGATATCTCGGGTCGAGTTGAACAACCCAATCATCTTGTCATAGTTACGAAATCCGTGGCTTTGGGTTTCCCGCCGAGTGCACTAGAACACTAATTCTACAATCTAATACCGATCTACACACGCATAAGGAAAGCGAAAAGGAAAGCATTGAAGCACTGTCGCAGACGCTACTAAGACGTTGTGTAGGCGATGCCAACGGACTCATCAGATCGCATACTGGTTTTGAACACCCTATGTCTTGGACTTAGTTTGACTGAGTGTTGATATTTGAATTCAGCCGATGTATAGATGCTACGTGTAATAAATATATGAAAGGTCGAAGATGACTTACCCATGCACATCTGGTTGGTCAAAATTATTCCCGACAATGCGCACCGTGATCCAATTGGTTGGCGAAGCGATTAACGAGTGTGTCTGTGCGGATCAAGCAAATCACTGGAGAATCAAATGCGATATGCAATCGACAGCACAATGCTGTTCACACAGTCGGTTAACCAATGAATCCAAGCGGAAATAACATTCACATAAATTGAGTGGACTATCTTGCGATCCTGTACCTCGGGAAAGGTAAAAGTGATTCTCCGTTAACTTGTCGGAAGTAACCAAAGCTTGTGCGCGTTGTCCTGATAAAATTCCCGGGTATCATACAAGATGCATCGAAATCGATAACCGGATGTATATAGTTATGCAGTGTGCCGAAAGCGGACAAATAGTTTGTCCATTTTGAGCATATCCAGAAAATTGGCAGTCTCCGAACTTCCCTCTTCTAGTTGAGAAAGGAAATGGAAATACTACTTGCCAATCCAGATCAATCCTTCAGAACAGGAACAGGAACTGGTGGTTCGGTTGGGTGCTTTAGACACAGGGCACTCTCACGCGCAATCTGGTCTGGTTGGATTGAGTTGGCGAAGGGCGCTTCCTTCCGCTGCTCCGTGTCAGTCGTCAGCCGTTATACAGGGTAGTCAGAATACGCGCAAAGCGCAATGGGACTTCAGGAAGACCACAAATTCAGCCGTTCCTCTGAGCAACTTGCACTTCCTTCCGTTGTCCTGAAGACCGTGTATTCTTGTGGCACGGTCCGTGAGCGATGTGAAGCGCGTCGATTTCCGTCCGGTGAGTCGTTAACACGCTTGAGTAGACCAAAACAGAATCGTGTACGGCCAGCAGTGTAGGCACAAACGCAGGGACACACAGTTGCTGTGGTGTATGCGCGCATCGCTCACTTTTCACCCCCTGGAGTAAGGGCTCTGCCCACACCCTGGCCGAGTTAGTGAGAATACGGTTGTATTTCCTGGACTCAGCTACCATGGAGGACCAATCAAATCGTAGATCCGACAGCGTACGAGAAAAAGCGAGAATTGATCTGCAAAGACTTTGGGCGCAAGATAGAGAGACTCCGCAAATGGTAATCATTTACATATACCGAGGACATTCTTGTATTCCACAGTGTAGTCGATACGTAGTGTAACTAAACCATTTTTTCGTTCCAACAAAAGCTTTACCGGTTGCACGGCGTGTTAGCAGCTGAATGTATCGCACGCTGCGTTACAACAAGATGAAACGGGATTGGATGGCAGTTTAGATTCGTCTGTAAATATTGGAAGGAAGGGAGCCGAAGGTGGGGAATGACAGGCAAATGAAAAGAGATAAGGGTGCAAATCATAACTGGCATAATAGGCTTACAATTTCCGCATGCCCAAGATTTCTCATTGTGGCACGAATTAGTAAATCTACCACACGCACCGGCCTGTTTTGGTTGCCGACACGACCACCAGTCTGCGTCTTCTATGGACGCAGTGCACGTGTCATCCTCTAACCGACCGAGCCCCTGCGATGTTTTGTCCTGCTGCAGTGTATGGGATTAGAACAATGATTGGAACATCGTCAGTATGATTGTGCAGAGAAACTGCTCTTTCGTACCTTAGTCAGAACTGGGAGGAAAGTGTTATTGCTTATCTGATAGCTGCACTGTCATCATATGTTACAGGAAATACGGCTGATTACTTTGTGCCTTATAAACCGCTCAGCGTATACTAGCTCGCTGGATGGGTTGCGGTCTAATTGCAAATTTGGTTCGGAAACGCAACATCACCGTTACTCACAGGTAGCATATGAGTGACCAAGAGAGTGATGCTTAGGGGATTGGTAATCAAATTGCGTCGTTCCGTCATTCTTTGAAAGTGATTTCCCTGGCATGCAGTGGAAAGTGCTATCCACAGCAACCAGTGAAGAAGCCTCGGGTCAACTGCAGAGTACAATGGATACACACGCTGGGTATGTACATTTGCCGACTGGTTTCTGTATGTTGGAAGAATGGTTAGGGATGATGGAAAAGAAATATAAGAGCTGTAATGCCGAAAAAGTAAAACCGAGCAAACATTGAATGCCTCTCATTGGTTGGATGGCTGAAGTGAGGGTAATCTTATAGTGCTTAGACAACTCAGACAGCAAATGGAATTGATCCGATTCGCGGAGATACAAGACGACATAGTGCAGCTTTGGTTTATTAGGCAAAAATAAGAGTTGAGCCAATTTATGAAACCGTGTCGAAAGATCAAACTAGTTATGGTTATCTGAGAACAAGAGAAAACTAGCCAGTCGGTGCATTGTATAAGCATCCTTTTAAAGGGTGAACTGCCTGCTAGGTGAATTCTGTGAGTAATTGCCTCAGCTACAATCTCGGGCACATGAAGGTACTTCCAGAATCCTTCGAACTTCCCCATTCAGAGGAGAAGCGAAAGGCAGCAACTACGCTGTTTGCCGGACTGACTACATCAGTGAACATGTAAATATACAACAAAAAAGTGGACCAGATTTCTGTCGCACCCTTCTAGTTTTGCATCAACGCCGATGGCCTGTTTGCTTGTCCCCACCAACTGCCTTCGGATATATGGAAACCCCATTTATGGGACCAAAAGACCAGTGTTGATCACGTTTCTTTTTGAATAATTAAATTTGCCTGCTGGTACATCGCAATCATGGCAGTAGTAATATCGGTTGTAGCAAATAGCTGGATACTGCCTATCACTACAATGCTCTGGTAGTAAGCTCCGAAATGGATTATTAATCAAGTGTGCACTTAAGTTACAAGGGACAAGAGAACTGTAGCATCCAGTAGAAAAGTTTCGAGCAATTGCTCCAATGGTTTTGTCGCACTTTGAGACGATCCGTCCCTTTGAGGGCACGGTTTCGCGATATCACGATAGATATGCATTATTGTTATTATTGCTATTATTATTATAGCATTCCCGGCAGCAGTCCCTAAAAGTCAAATAGCTGATTGTCACGCTCGTGCTATTTTTCTAGTTTGTGCATAAGGGCTATCTAAACGCTCCAAGTTTTTATCCAGAGATCATTTGTTGAGTGAAATATAAAATTCTATCAGCAGGTTTGTCAAAGGTGCGACTGAAGGTCACCAGAGAAGTCAACGATGGTTATTCATAGAACATGTGAAGCAGTTCAAATGTTCTCAAAGCGAATGCCTTGCAATTTCATCATGCTACACGTTAGCTAGGGGTGAAAAATGTCTCATCAACAGTGCAGCATAAAGGTTATACAATATATGCGAAACAGAAATAATAAGTATTATAGAATACAAAATATGTTATGCATCGACAGTTAGATCGCGGTTTCAGGGGACGATAGAGGAGGGAAGAGACAAAAAACCCTTAACACGAATACCACCTTGGTGGGCTTTTGGCCATGCCAACGAGTGTCTCCTAACAAATGTGTTCGCAGTCTTTCGGACCCTAACCCGAAATGGTATTACTGGGGAAAAGCGGGTTGCAGTGGCTGAGTTCGTTCCCTCTGAGTGGTTTAAGTTGGGGAGAAACCATTGAATTTATTAAACAACCGGTGTGAATGGTCTCAGTAGTTAAAAGATTCCAGATGATCGAACCAATGGTGAATGGATCTACGTAATCATAGCCAATGCATAGTCTATCCAAGTTACTTCACACAGCATGACAAGTAAAGCTAGTCATTGTAGGGGCATTGAATGGATTTATCATTTGAAGGAAGGAAAACGGTAATCAATATGGTCCGACGATTCACACTGATCACACAGTCTCAGATAACTGAAATGCCTAGTGACACCATAGTTGTTTGCAGCGTCATCCCAAACACTGCAGACAACCCCTTCACGACGGTACTAATTTGGGAACCTTCTTAACTGGGTTTTCGGTTAACTTGTTCAAATGTATGCTTTAAAAGCTGATGGGAAACCTTGGTGAATTCAACCATTGAGGCTAGCACAGCCAAATAAAGCAAGTTCATGTAGCCAGTTCTCTTCCGCAATTGTAAGAGAGCAAGAACGAGTAACATTATTGCGGGTTAACCTGAATTCAGATTATTTTGTGTCGTCTCATTCAGCCGCTTACAAACGAATCATGGAAAGAGTCAAGCAATGCAATCGAAAAGGACGTCACAATAAGTAAATCAATAAAATAAAGGAAAGCAAGGTTATCGCCTATGTCTTACTAGGGCAAGGCGAGACTGGCCACAAGGTCGAGGTGTTTGAGAAGGTTAGGTTTCATTCGCCGGATGGCGGAAGCTTCAGCGAAACGAAGCAAGCTCGCGTTGTTCTGTTCTGCCAATAACCTTGAATGCGTCATGTGGGTTTTCGCACAAGGTGCAATAGAGCAGATGCTGAGCGATTGAGCTGGCAGGTAGTTTAGGTCCACTATTTGCCAGGTTCCATGGAATATGTTCCATTATCCTAGTTGATAGCTTTCTCTCGGTTCGGCCAATATACGTGCTACCGCATGTACAGGTGAATTGTTAAACCCATGAGGCTGTATTCGAAATAATTTGGAACACTGGTAGCCCGGGTTGGTTGCTCACCTATTGGTCGTTTTTCCCAGCTTGACAAAGGGATCGCATCAACCCCGTGTACCATCAGCTCAGAAAGAAAGATCTGCGGCGAATCGAAAGACGTGGTTCAGCCGCGGAAGCAAATGGGCAGAGATCACGTGGCGCAAATCGAAATTGTCACCTTCAAAAGTCATCTGCCCGTGGACGAATAATGTGTCAGCTGTACGCCGTAACGGCGCTTCGCTGCCGCGCGACCACCACCAGTCGCGCGCGGGCTGAGTATACCGCGAGGACGCCCACCCCTACGCGGATTCGAACCGGTGACCTTATGGTTGCAAAGCAAACGTGCAGACCACTCGGCCACCGGCCGACGACTGACGATTCAATAAGCAGGATTATACTCTGCCTATCACCGCAATGAAGATGCCACCTCGCATGGTGATGAAACGTATGTGATCCCTTTATCAAGCTCGGCAGAACAATCAACAGGTGAACATGAGGCGGTAACCGGAGAGTGAGGCTTATCATCCTAGTTGGATTCATGGAACAGCTTCTTGGTTTGATGTAACAACACGAGCTCAGCTGCCTAGTAGCACCTTTTATGACGGCGTAATCGGTAGCACAATCTTCTGTCGTTCTGTTCCCCTTTGTATGGTAGCGTGATGAAGACCTTTTTCTTTGGGACATCCATTTCCATTTTTTCTTAGCAACCTCATTCCCATACCTAGCAATAAAGTTGTTTGGATAGGCGTTATTGTGTAGGGTAGACTCAATTGGCTCTTCAGAGTATAGTCGGTCATTGGACAGTAACAGTTGAAATGTAGATATTGTCCGGTCCAGCTCGGTTTCCTATAAATCGATCTTATGAGTGAACCATTCTCTTCTCTTAAGTGCAACGTCAAGAAAATGAAACGAATCAGCTGATTCAATTTCCATAGTGAACTAGATATTGAGATGGCATTTGTTTAGCGCTTCCAAAATGACTTTCTCTTGCTGGACAGTGTCCACTACAACAAAAGTATCGTCGATGTACTTTGTGTAAAAGTGTGTTGCTCCAATGACTTCGCGTAACAGGTTACGCTCCAGATGACCCATAAAGATATTTCACGGAACCTGACAAATAGTGGCCTTAAACTCCCTGCCAGCTCAATCGCTCA